CATTTTCCATCATGAGTCTTTTGGAATTGTCTTAGATCATCATATTGCTGAGAAGAGCTAAGTCTATCAAAGTTGATCCTCGCGCAATGTTTCTGTTACTGTGTACAATGTTCTCCTAGTTCTGCTCACTTTACTTTGCATCAGTTCAAGTAAGTCTTTCCAGGTTCTCTAAGGTCCCTTTGGCCATTAAAGCTAGAATCTGTGATCACAGCATTAGAAAGCAGAGCATATATAAAGTGTAGACAAACTCAGGTTCAACCCTGAGGGGTTGGGCAAACTAAGAAAAATTCACATTTACATAACACTTTAAGGTTTATAATTACTTTCCCCACAGCTGCTCTGTAGTGTGATTAACCTTACTTCATAGCTGAGTACTCTTGAGATTTTGACAGGCCACAAGGTCACAAAGTAGAACCAGGATTCAAACCAAGGTTTTGGCTCCAGGTCCACAGGACAGATTCACTGGCCCTTTGAATCATACCAGGATGTGCTGGGAAGGAGCATATCTGCCGTTCCCAATGCCAATTTCAGAACCTTATGATATCCTCTAAAAATCTTAGATTCCCTGATTGCTCCAGTATGGGTCTGTCATTCATGAATTTCTCTAAACCTTTCCTGAAGATATCTCCTTTTCTAAGGGTAAAATGACTTTTGCATCCATCATTTACTGCCCCTTATGTGATACTTTTTGGTTCCCAATTGGCTTCTTCTAGGTTTCAAGGGGCTGTCACATAGGTCTCATTCTGGGAGCTGATAAACAAGCAACTTCTATATTTACATACTGCCCCAGGGAAGCCTGCTTAGAAAAACTAATTTGCCTTCTTTGCAAAGTCTCAAAGAAGGCTAGGGGGCACAGTGGATAGAACAGTGGGCTTGGAATCAGGAAGACTCATCTTCCGGAGTTTGAATCTGGCCTCAGATACTTACTAGTTATGTGACCCTGGGCAAGTCACTTGATGCTGTTTGCCTCAGTTTCCTCATCTGTAAAATGGGCTGGAGAAGGAAATGGCAAACCACTCCAGTATCTTTGTCAAGAAAACCCCAAATGAGGTCATGAAGAATCAGACATGACTGAAACGACTCAACAACAATAACGAAGTCTCAGCCAGTTTCCCTGGGGCTGAGCCTTCTCCTTTTCCTTGCTCCTGGCCTTAGCAAGGTCTGAGAGGACACTAGAGGCATCTCCTGCCCTGTGCTGGGATCAGTGGACTTCCAACAAGAGTCAGGAGAATGGGAGAGTGGAAAGATGGAAGCCCTAGACGGAAGGTTCATCAAAGAGAGACTTTGTTGCTTGGGAGAATGTGTGGGAAAGGGTGGAAGTGATAGTGGGGACAGCTAATTGGAAGCCACATTTTGGGGCCTTTGTCTTTGGTCCTGAGGTATATTCTATCTCCTTGGGGCCTTCCAAAAGGGATCAATGACACCAGAAGACTCTTTGTGGAGTAGAAATCTCAGGTTAGAGTAGCATAGAAAACGAACCATATCTGCAGATGGAGGGGTGGTGAATAGAGTGAGAGACTTGCAGAGAAGAAGACCTGGGTTCCAATCCAACTCCATTGCTTATTAGCTGTGAGACCCTGGACAAGTCCTCCCTGGGTCTCCCTTCACCTACAAAATGAGAAGATTGGACTAGGTGGTATAGGAGATAGAACATTGGTCAGACTTGGATCTGGGAAGACCTGGGTTCAAACTGTGTCTCAAATACTTACTAGCTATACAACTCTGGGCAATTCACTGAACCTCAAGAAAAGGAGGAGACTGGATTCAAATACTTCTAAAGACCCTTCCAGATCTTAGTCTATGAGGTCACTGTGGACCAGTTAGGATCATTGGATTTTAGAATTGGAAAGGATTGTAGAGATTATTCAGTCTACCTTTCTCTTCCCCAGAGGAATCTGGGGCTCAGAGAGGTCAGGCAAATTGTCCAAGGGCACAAAGGTAGTAAGAGGTAGAGCTGAGATTTGAACCCAGGGTCTTCCAACTCCAAATCTAGTGCTCTTCCATTACAAAAATAGTTCACCCTTCTCCCAACCCATCAATTTCATCTGATCCAGTGACACCATGAGAGTGATGTCCTAGGGAATAAATATGGAATCTGTATGAGTAAGCCAGGAAAACAGTAAAAATGAGGCTTCAACACTTCAAAAGATTACATGTTTCACCAACACAGACTGCAAGGCCTTCCTGCTTAACTCTTCAGGAGTTTCTGTGACCAAAAAAAGTGTATCACCCAACAGTCCTCCATGTGATCAGTCTCTTCAAACATAGCAGGGGCCATGGTGCATTGGTGGCACCATTGGTGGGCCACTGGTGGCCAACCTGGTAGGAACTGGTAAAGCTTGTGTTTTACCCACAAGACCGCCAAGAAATCAGGGCCCCCTTCCTGGCATAGCAAGAAAAAAGGAAGAACCCTTTTGGGGACAGTTTAAAGGTCAGAAATTGGTAGCATTAGAATTTGTAAAATGTATATGATGACACATATACCATACATTTTACAGGAATGTCATGAGGACGTCCTTTATAAATATGAGCTGGTTAGTCTAACATCCTTTCCAGTCTAGGTCTGTGATCGTACGAACCCCTTAAAAGTTACAGTTGTCATTTGGGAAGAGTAGAGAGAATATCTCCATTTCTGGTTTTTGTTGTTTGTTTTTTTGGAAAGGTATTGGGGTCAGTGCAGGTAATGTAGAGAGCACTGGGCTTGGAGGACTGAAAGAGCTGGTTTCAAATCCTTTTACTGTGTGACTTTGGGCAAGTCACTTAACGTATCTGTAGAATGAAGAGGGTGGACCTGATGAACTCTAAGGTCTCATTTAGCTTAAAAATCTATGATTCTATGATTCTAGCTTGAAAGAAACCCTTGGATTTTGTGTTTGGCTTGAGGTAGGGACATGCGTTGGGCCTCCCCTCAGGAACGGAAGTCTTTATGGTGTTTTTTAATTCAATACCCACTTGTCAAGGGCCTTCTTTGTGCAGAGCATGGTGCAAGGGTTTGGAGAAAATGAAGAAATTAAACAAGGTGCATCCCCATCTGCGTGAAACTTACAGAGGCAGCCTGCCCTACTTGGTGTTAGAAAGACTGGAGTTCAAATCCTGCTTCGGACACTTACTGGATGTGTGACCTTGGGCAAGTCACTTAGCCTCCCTCAACCTGCTTCTTTATCTGTAAAATGAGAAGGCTGGATTCTCTGACTTCTGAGGTTCCTTCACAGTCCCTCCAGGTCTCCTGATCGTACAACACTGTTAGTTGCAGTTACTATCAATAAACACACGAGGGCAGAACATCTCCATTTCAGGGTGTTGGTTTTTTTTTTAAACTGGGACCTCTCATTGGTTCCCTAATATAATTAGGTTTGTGATTAGAATTCAGGAAGAGCAGCATCTTTCGGAGTCGCTCTATTGTTCTCCCGAAAATGCTGACTGGCACGCCCCAGGAGGCAAAGATGGGAGTTCCGACTGGTCTAGGAGAGGCAGGGATGAAGAGATGAACTGAATGTAAGGCGTAAGGAGAGGCAATCCCAGGGACTGCTCCCTGACGCCGAAGCGCCATACGCTCAGGGTTTCCCTGTACGGGGCCTCCGTCAAAGCCCCTGAAGACCTAGGGAGGCTGGGACCTCAAACCTTGTAATAGGATCAGCGACGCTCCAAGTCACCGGCACGGCCCAGACGATGGAGGGCTGCTATCAGTAATGAACAAAAGCTCCCATTTCTGGAGCACCTGGGATCCCCGGATGCCTCGAGGGGCCTTAGGTGCCGTCTGCTCTGACCCTCGCTTTTTACAGGTGAGGAAGCTGAGGCCCAGGGAGCTCAAGTCCCTTACCCAAGGTATTTGAATGCAGGTGTTTTGAGAGCCAAGCATTCTTTCCACCGTACTAGGTACTTTACTCATAGAAAAACCTTCAAGGTAGGTGGTGAGTACTGTTATCCCCATTTTACAGATGGGGAAACTGAGGCCAAGTTCTTTTGACTTGCTGAGAGTACTGAGCTAATGCGACTTGTCGAGGTTGCTATTCAGACGGGAACTGAGGTTCTCCTGAAGCCAGCTGGACAATGCTCACTACCACACTGAGTGGCCTCTTTTAACCATCACACTTCAAAAAAGCACCTTTTTCTAGATCATCCCCATTCTGACCACTGAGGGGAAGAGGAGGACGCAAGACAGCCCCCTTCCGTGGACCCAGCAAGAGATCACAAGCCGTGGCTCCTGCAGTGCTGGGGGGCAGGTCTACATACAGAGGGACTGCCAACCCACTTCATTTGGGAGACAGGGTACCGGGACCGCACTTCCACTGGGCAGAGTGACTCTATATATCTTACTTCCTCAGTGTCTCCAGGAAATAGCCATGTTTCCCCAGAGATCTATGAAAAAAACAGTTTCCAAAACATCCACAGTTAATCTTCAACCCCAGATGTGGCAGGTGAGTAAAGGACAGAATCTCAGACTACAACAGACCTCAGAGGCCAGCTGGTCCAACCCACAGCTAAATAGCAAGGTCCTCTAAGCATCCCTGGAAGGTAGTGACCTGGCCTCCACCTGAGGCCCTGCAGTATTGGCACACTGATGGGCCTGAGGAAGCCCCTGTGAGGAATGACGGCTGAACTGGGCAGTGCCTTACCAGTCCTTCTGTGACACATTCTGGTTGTAAATGTGTCCACTGATGTTACGATATGGTGGGCAGATGCATTTGCACCGGATGTCTTCAGAGCTCTGGAAGAGAACCGGAAACACAGGTCAGGTTGGGAGGCAGGGCACCAACTCCTGGCAAAGCCCCCTGCCTTCTGACCCCCCTATCAATCAATCAATCGATTGATCAATCAACCAATCAATCAACAAACTTTGTTAAGCACTTCCTACATCTAATGCACTGTGTTAATCGATTTACAATGATCTCAACTAAGCCTCACAACTAGCCTGGTAGGTAGGTATTATTATTATCCCCATTTTACAGTTGTGGAAAATGAGGCAGAGGTAAATTACTTGCCCAGGGTTACACAGCTAATGGGGGTCTGAGGCTAGATCTGAACTCAGATCTTTCTTACTCTTCTCTATTCACACCATCTACCTGCCTAAGAAGCATTTATTAAGTGCTCACTATATGCCAGGCCCTGGAGAAATAAAGGCAAAAACCGAGGCATTCTTATCAAAGTTCTCTCTCTGCAGTGACCCAGAATTAAGGCTGTATCTCTCTTTAACACTCATCAAATTTGATTTTGCATCTCTGTCTTTCCTGGACCTAGGCTTAGCTAGCAACTGAAGGTGGCCACATCATTGGACCCTCAGCCTCCTGTCCTGGAAGAAAGTTGCAGGCCTTGAGCACTGGAACAGATCAAGACACCTAGCACCTAATCTTGGCTCTGCCATTACATCGCTGGGTCACTGAGCAAATCACTTAACCTCTCTGAGCCTCAGCTTCCATATCTGTAAAATAAAGAGACTAGATCACCTCTAAAGGCCTTTTCAGCTCTAAGATTATATGGTTCTATGGTTCTAGGCAGGTCAGGTAGGTGGAGCAAGGGCCTTGAGTCAGGAAGACCTGAGTTCAAATCCAGCCTCAGATATTTACTAGCTGTGATCCTGGGCAAGTCACTTAACCCTGTTTGCCTCAGTTTCCTCATCTGTATAAAGAGCTGGAGAAGAAAATGGCAAACCACTCCAGTATCTTTGCCAAGAAAACCCCCAATAGGGTCATGAAAAGTCAGACACGACTGAAACCACTGCACAACAACAATAAATGCTTCTAAGTGGGTCTGGGGAACTAAGTGGGCCTAGGTCTGTGAGCTCTGGAGTGGAGGTATGATAATCTCACAATGGGGCAAACAGAGGCAAAGCCACTGAAAGGATGCTTGTCCCTTGATATATCTCTATCCTGGTCCCCAAAACAACAACGATTTTTTCTTTAGACAATTGGGGTTAAGTGACTTGCCCAGGGTCACACAGCTAGTAAGTGTCAAGTGCTTGGTCTGAGGCCAAATTTGAACTCAGGTCCTCCTGACTTCAGGGCCGGTGCTCTATCCACTGTACCACCTAGCTACGCCAACATCGACTTTTTCCACAGCACTTTAAAGTTTGCAAGCACTTGCCATTCATTATCTCATCTGACTGTTCAAGATCCTGGGAGTAAGTACTACAGGTCTCCATCTCCCTAGTTTTACTGATGAAGAAAGTGAAAGTTAGAGGTTAAGTAACCCACAGCAGTCAGAGACAGCATTCAAACCCAGTCTTTCTGACAAGTATGTGTTCTAATCTAATTACTTAACAAGCATTTATTCATTACCCCCTTTGTGCCAGGAATTGTGCTGAGTGCTTGCTGGGGATGACAAAAATACAATAAATTAAACAATGCCATGCATTTCTTTCAGACTACTTGTGACCCCATTTGGGGTTTTCTTGACAAAGATCCTGGAGTGGTTTTTGCCATTTCCTTCTCCAGTTCATTTTAAGGGTGAGGAACTGAGGCAAACAGGGTTAAGTGACTTGCCCAGGGACATAGAAGTAGTAAGCATCTGAGGCTGGACTTGAACTGGGGAAGATGAGTCTTCCTGACTCCAGGCCAGGCATTCTATCCACTTATGCCACCTCGCTGCTCCAAATGAAGCAATCCCTATTCCTAAGAATTTCCATTGGAATGGAAATGACAACCAGGACATACATACAGAATATAAAGAAAGAAACACAAGTAAATACAAAGTATTTGAAGGTATACTTTGAAGAGAAGGGCATTTCCTGGTTAAGCGGATCAGAGAAAGGTTTCTCACAGCAGGGATGCCACTATCACACTCCGCCTCTATAATAGCTCCACCAGGGGAGGGGACTGTGTCCGTTGAATTTTTACACCTTCCCCAGTCCCCAGCACATTATTCTGTAGGCTGCGTGCCCCGGATAAGCATCTGCTGAACTGATGGGCACCACAGAGATGTTCATTTATTCCTGAGTTGGCACTCAACCCTTCCCTGCCTCACCCCAAACACAGGCTCAGAGAATTAATATGCCATTTTAAGGTTTATAAAGCACTCTCCTCGCAATAATTCTGTGAAGGGGGAGGAGCAATTTCCCTCATTTTGCAATTGGAGGAAACTGAGGCTACGAGAAGCAGAAGCCAGGACTGAAGTTCACACCTCCTGACTCCAAGAGTACTGGACCACGAGACCTGGCGTAGAATCTCTTGAATCCCCAAAGTACAGCGGGACTTACTACAGCTACTTTTGCGGAGGGGCAAGTCTGGGTTAGTCTCTGGCCGTCACTATGTAAACCAGCAGACCCAAACATCTCACTCTTCCCAGCCCCTCTTTCTCACCTTGCCGGCCTGCGCTGGGGGGATGGCCAAACACCAGGCCAACGCCACCAGGGGTAAGAGCTTCATGCTTACCAAGACTCGCTGGGTCAGCATGACCAGTCGCCTGGAAAAGAGAAAAGGAGTGGGGGAAGGGGGAGGGGAGTGAAATCAACATTCAAATTTTTTCCCAAGTCCCCAAAGCCCGAGTTATTGCACCCTGCTGAGCTTGGCTAGGAAGCAGGACCTCTGGGTTCTTTTTCTACCTGCTTCTCTTAGGTAAGTGACCTCCTTCTGGGTCTCAGGTCCCCCGATCGTCAAAACGTGAAAGAATAATCCCGGGGGGCCTGAGGTCGGGAGTAAGGCTGAAATCCTGTCTGTGCGGTGCTCTGAGTTCCTCGGACAGCGCTGGTCCAGAAAGATCCAGGCTGAGACTCCGCCGCCCCGACCCCTCGCTGCATCGCGGGCTGTCTGCGCCCATGCTCCCCCACCCCCCGCCGTGCGCTCCCAGCTGGAGCGCCTGCATCCCTGTGCATCCCTCTCCGCATCCCCGTCCCTACTGCCCACCCCTAACTGCTCCAGCCTCTCCTCCCCTGCGCAGGCCCAGAGCCCTAGCATCCCTCTCCAGCCCCGTCTGGGGCCGCGGCCAGAAGTCCAGAGCCCACCGCGCCTGGCAGCGATGGTCCGAAGCCGCCGGCACCCCACCCCCAAGCCCCGGAACCCCGAGCCCCCGCGCCCCTCCCCCAGCAGTCCTGCAGCGAACCTCCGAACCTCTCAACATCAGCACCGGGCCCAGCACGGCCCCGCCCCGCTCCAGCTCCTATTGGCTCTCAGAGGTGCCCTTCTCCCCAACTCAGGCAGTCTCCACGGCAACAAGGACCCGCCTTCTTCTGGGGGTTTGGAGGGTGCGGGCAGGGATCGGAGGGCATTTCTTAACTTCAACTGGGCAAGAAAAGGGAGCGTCGCTGAAGGAAGGGCAGAAAAAATAGAAGTCCAGAATTGGAACCGTCTATAAAACATACATAGATTTAGATCTGGAAAGTGCCTTGCGTCATCTTGTCCACCTGAAACACGAGTCCACTCTACTACCTCTCAGGCCACGTGGTCATCCCGGTAGAGTGGAAAGAATGCTGGATTTCTGGTCTTTGATGCTATCTGTGTGGCCTTGGGCAAGTCACAACCTCTGTAGGTTTGGGGTTCCTCATCTGCAAAATGAGAGGTTTGGCTAAGATGTTTTTGCAAGCTCTCTCCCAGCTTTCAAAAGATCTCAGACTCTGCGATCCAAACTGCACACTTCCAGTGACAGGGAGATGGCTTTATTTCTGCATTGTTTTGGCAATTACCAAGCTCATCATTTACACTGCTTTGAAATCCACCTCTGCAATTTCCATCCACCGGTCTTAAATCTGTTCCCTAGGGCAAATCGAGGGGCATTGCCAGCCGTCCTGACCTATGTCTTGCCGCTGGACTCAGATGACCCTGGAGAAGGTTGAGGCTGGTGACTTTGCACAGCCCTGCTTCACTTAAATCCAGTTCACTTGCAAGTGAACACATCACCCTCCTGATATCTTCGGTCCTCTTTGAGGACGAAGTACAAATAACAACAAGGGCAAAGCAGAATAAAGCTAAGTCTTTGTTCCAAGTGTTGTCCTTCAGTCTCTGACTGAAGAGTCAGTGTCTGACTCTTCCTGACCCCATTTGGGGTTTTATTACTAAATATATAGGAGTAGTTTGCCATTGCCTTCTCCAGCTCATTTTACAGATGAGGAAATTGAGGCAAACAGGGCTAAGTGACTTGCCCAGGGTCATACAGCTAAGTAAGTATCTGAGGTCAGATTTGAACTCAGGAAGATGAGTCTGCCTAATTTCAAGCCCAGCGCTCTGTGCACTATGGCGCCACCTAGCTGTCCCTTTTCCAAGTGACAGCCTATCAAATACTTGAGAAGCTATATAATGTCCCTCTATAGTTTTTATTTTTTTCTTCCTCTCCTGCATGGAAGCAACATGGTACAGTAGATAGAGCCTTGGACTTGAATTTAGAGGACATGGAATTAAATCTTGACTTTACTGATTACTCTTTGTGTGAAATCGGGAAAATGACTTTTATCACTCCAGGCTTCAGTTTCCTCATCTGTAAAATGGACTAGTTGACATTCAAGTTCCCTTCCAGTTCTAAATCTATAATCCTGTAATTCTGGGATCTGAATCTTTGTTCACATCATTCCATGCAGCTAGAATGACCGTCATTGCTTTCTCTCCCCAGTTCTGCCAGTTGACATTCTACCCATCCTTTAAGGTCTACATCAATCATCCTCTCTTCTAGGAAGCTTTCCTAGCTCCCAGTCAATAAATTAGTTCTATCCTTGGATATTGGTCTCTCTTATTCAAGGATTCTGGGGCAGATAGGTGGCGTACTGGACAGAATACTGGGCGGGGAATCAGGAAGACTCATCTTCCTGAGTTCAAATCCAGCCTCAGACACTTACTAGCTGTGTGACCCTGGGCAAGGCACTTAACCCTGTTTGCCTCAGTTTCCTCATCTGTCAAATGAGCTGGAGAAGGAAATGGCAAACCACTGCATTACCTATATCAAGAAAACCTCAAATGGGGTCACAAAGAGTCAGACATGACTGAAAACAATTGAACAACAAATTCAAGAATTCGGTTTAAAGGTTTACTAGCCCATCCATTGTTTACATGCATTGGGGAGGAGAGATATAAGACAATAGTTGGTGAGGGAGGGATGGACAGATCTTGTGAGGGTTTTTTGAGAATGGGGAGATGTGTGTGCTTGTAGGCAGTAGGGAAGCATCCAGTAAACAGGGAGAAAGTGAAGATTACTGACAGAGTGTGGATAATAGAAGGCGATAATTTTTTGGAGACGGCTGGGTGGACCATAGGTAAGTCCCTTAGCTGGGCTTTAGTATTTTCACCTATAAAATAAGAGGAATAGACCAGTTGGTTTCTGAGGTCCCTTTTAGTTCTGGATCTATGGTCCTATAACCTCTGGTCCATTTACCGTAGTTAAGAATTCTCCCTCTAACCATCATTGCATAAGGTACCTCTTCCCATTCTCTATTTTTGAAAATGATGTGATCTTTTTATTTAGGCTAAGTATTTATTCAGTGTTTGTTATTGTATATGGTGTAAATATTGGTCTAAACCTAATTTCTGTCAAAATGCCTTCAGATTTCTACAGCCATTTTTATCAAAGAGTCCTTACCTCCAGTAGGTGGTGTACTTGCATTTTTCAAAAACTAGGTTACTGTGCTTGATTTTTTTTCCCTTTGAATTAAGTACAGAGAGAATGACTTGTCCAGGATCTTTAAACGATTAGTATCAGAGCTGGGATTAAAACCAGCTCCTACTGACTTAAGATCTAGGAGGCTTTCCACATTGTCTCTCGGGTTTGGTGAGGTTTAAAAAGTAACTCTCTTGGTAGGCTGAGTGCCCTGACTTCTCTCTGCCCCACCTCCCAATCTATTCCCATCTCAGCCCAATTTAGAGGTGTATTAATGCTATTCAGAAGTAAGGGTCTAGCATTTATTCTTTCAAAAAATATTTATCAAGAGTCTATTAGAGCCTCAGGGTATGTATCACCTAGTCAGTTACTCTCAATTAGTTTATGATTCAGTAAAATGTAAGCTGTTTGAGGGTAAGAACTGTTCTGTGTTTTTACTTTCAATATCTACTACAATTGTTGTTGTTTTGTTGTTTTTGTTTTTGATCCAGACCTGTAATTTCATCATAGTAGGGCACTTCTTGGAGGTAACTGGCTCCACTGGTGCCCTGCTCATCACTGCTCATAGTTAGACTTCGAGAATTGCCTGCATCTCTGAGAGGTAAGGGGATGTGCCCCTTGTCACACAGCTAGTATTCAACAATGGCAGGGTGTGAAACTGACTTCAAGGACATTTCTCTATGGACTCCATCTGGATACCCTGCACACAGTAGGTACCTAATAAATGCCTGTTTAATTCAATTGAATTCCAAGCCTGATGACCAAGACTAGGATCTACAGGTAGCATTAGGAAGTAGCCTTGTGGTCATTACAGTATTACTGCTTTTGAGGTGTCTTTGCCAAAGGAATAAAACAGCAGACTGGACACTGGGCTCAAATCTCTACTCACATCTTTTGCAAATTTTCAGGGCACAGAGATTGGAGCACTAAGTCTGCCCCTAGCCTTCAGAAAGAGTTCAAACCAGGTGCTATCTGGAAGACTCTTCCAGATGGATTCCTCCCCTAGCACTTTGAAAATGAATAGCTAATCCGAATCACTGACAATAAGAGAAATGGAAATCAGAACAACCCTGAAGTTTTACCAAATACCCAGCAAGTTGACAAAGATGGAAATGGTCCCGTATTAATGCTGTTCAGAAGTAAGAGGCTAGCTGATGGACTTTGTGAAAGGGTTTCAGAAAGACAGGCACACTAGTGCATTGTTGGTGGAGCTGTGAATTAGTATAACCTTTCTCGAAAGTTATTTGGGATAATGCAAATAAAGTGGCTAAAATATCAATACCCTTTGGTCCAGAGATTTCACTCCCAGGCATTATTCCCCAAGGAATTAATTGACCAAAAAGAAAAAAAAGACACCATGTTACACTAAAATGTTAATAGCAGTATTTTTTGTGGGAGCAAAGAATTAGAAACAAAGTAGATACTCTGATTAATGAATAGCTAAGCAAATTGTGGTACATTGATGTAGTGAAGAATTACTGTGCTGTAAGAAATGATGAATATAATGAATGTAGAGAAGCACTGAAGAATTTACATGAACTGATACAAAGCGCGTAAGCAGAGCCAGGCATCATACTCAATAACTATAACAATGGTAAATGGAAAGAACAGCCACCACAAAACAATTGAAAATAAATGTTGCAAAACTGTAAAAAAAAAAAACTTGACCCCAAAGAAGAAATATGAGAAGACAGTCCCCCTATTCTAGATGTGGGGGTCCAGAGTTGTGGAGCATTGGGTATGCTAGATTTTTTTCACTGTATTGATCAGTTTTTCTGAATTCTGTCTCTTCTTTCTCTTAAAAAATTCATGGTTATAAGACATGACTCTAGGAGGGAGTGGGGGCAAGATACAAGGGGAAATCTAGGTATAAATAAAAACTCATATTTGAAATGTGTGGATGGCTAGGTGGTGCAGTGAGTAGAGTGTCAGGCTGAGAGTCAGGAAAATTCATCTTCCTGAGTTCAAATCTGGCCTCAGACGCTTACTAGCTATGTGACCCTGGGTGAGTCACTTAACCCTGTTTGCCTAAGTTTCCTCATCTATAAAATGAGCTGGAGAAGGAAATGGTAAGCTACTCCAGTATCTTTGCCAAGAAGACCCCAAACGGGGTCACAGAGTCAGATACAACTGAAAATGACTGAACAACAACAAAGCAAAACAAAATATATAGTTGGGCAAAACAAAACATTGTCCATGTTGAAAATAAAACAAAACAAAACCCTAAGCTTCAATCTGCACTCTGAATTCATCATTTCTCTATCTGGAGGTGGTTAGCACGTTTTATCATGAGTTGTCTGGAATTATGCTTGGTCACTGTATTGATCAGAGTTCCTAAGTCTCTCAAAACTGTTGGTGTTTACAATGTTGTTGTTACTGTATAAAATGTTCTCCTGGTTCTGCTTACTTTACTTTGCATCAGTATAGACAAGTCTTCCTAGGTTTTTCTGAAACCATCCCCTTCATCATTTCTTATAGCACAATGGAATTCTATCGTATTTATATTCCATAAATTGTTCAGTCACTCCCCAGTTGATGACGACCCCCTCAGTTTCCAATTCTTTGCCACCATTAAAAGAGCTGCTGTAACTATTTTTGTACATATGGGTCTGGTTCCTTCAGAACTCATGGTCTCAGTGGTAAAAAACTAAGGGTGCCTGCTGT